GTGTATGTGGGCATATGCTAAGCCGTGGTTCTCAACCTGTGGGTCGCGACCCCTTTGGTGGGCGAACGACCCTTTCACAGGGGTCGCCTCAGACCATCCTGCAGATCAGATATTTACATGACGTTTCATAACAGTAGCAACATTATAGTTATGAAGTAGCAACGAAAATCATTTTACGGCTGGGTCACAACATGAGGAACTGTATTTAAAGGGCCAGAAGGTTGAGAACCGCTGCTTAGGGTTTCCCTCCTGCTGGTGATGCTCGGGCTGGGACACCTGCTGTGCGCCTCGAAGGGCCTGTTGGAACCTCGGGGAAGGGGGATCCATGGGCTGTGTGCATACGTGCAGCCCCCTGGACACCGACAGTGGGGAGGGCTTGGGGGGGACAGGAGCAGGCTGGACGAGGTCAGTGGGGGGGGAGACCTATGTCACACTTTCAACAACAAAGGTTAAAAATAAGTAAATAGCCAGGCATGAACCAAGCTGTCCCAGGGCCCTGCCTCAGGGACCCACAGAGCTTTACGGGTGGGAAGAGGCCCCTGGCCGCCGCTGCTGCCTCATTCACGCATTGATTTGGGTATTTCCCTTCCTGTGTGCTCATTCGCTGGTCTTCACAAAGGATCTGGCTGAGAGAAAGAAAAAAATTCCCTGGGGAGAAACCTGGACCATTTAGAACTGAGATGGAGGTGCAAGACCAGAGGTAAACCTAGCACAGCCAGCTCTGCCGCTGGCCGTGTGGATGGGAGGCAGGACGGTTACTGTGGAAGGAAGCCTCCTGGCACCGCTGGCCTAGGGGTGCGGGGGGAGTGGGGCGAGCAGACAGGAGTGACCGGGGCCGGGCGTGGAGCCTTGAGAGCCACAGTGTGTCCTCCACGAGGGAGACGGGGTGGTGGGTGCCGTGCTCCTTGCCCGCACGGAGCGCAGATGAAAAAGGGAGCCAACTCCTCTGTGTGCTTTTTAAAAATATTTTTATTGATTTCAGAGAGGAAGGGAGAAGGAGAGGTAGAATATCAATGATGAGAGAGTCATTGATCGGCTGCCTCCTGCTCGCCCTGCACTGGGGATCCAGCCCGCAACCCCGCAGCCCCAGGCGGGCCCTGCCTGGAAGTGAGTGGTGACCTCCTGGCTCATAGGTGGACGCTCAACCAATCATGGTCTCCTGAGATTTCTCATTGAGTAAAGGGGATATGTAAGAAAAGAGTTTTCCTCTCCATTTCACCCACCTCCTCCCTACAGGAGACGTGAAGGTCACGGCATGGCCGTATCGGGGCTCGGTCAAGGTTACCTGGGTGTGGAACACTGAAGACACAACATCCTCACTCATAAGGGACAGCAATCTCTCCAGCCAGGACCCTTCGTCCCAGGTCTGACGCTCCATCCCCTGAGCCACACCAGCCAGGGCCCTGGGAAAGTTCTAGATGCTGACTCTTGCTGAGCCCTGTGTGCACCTGGAGCACAGGGCACCTGATTGCGGTGCACAGACAGCCAGACTGGGGGCGGGCGGCTCGTGCACAGCGGGGGTCCTGAGAGGAGGTGCCCGTGGCGTCCCTGCCAGCGTCTCTCACACGTGTCCCTGCAGCTCCCTGCCAGGGAGGAAGCGGGGCCTGTGCGACCCCAGGTGGTGAAGACTCGAAGCCGGTGCGGCCTCGCCGGCTGTGATGCGGACCGGGTCAGGCTGCTCTTGCCGGGCTTCCCTCCCCTGAGGAGCCCCACCTGTGGTGCCACCTGCTTCACATCACGTGAGCCTCGCAGCCGATCAGCAAGCAGGAGGGCCACCTGGCGACTCACCACCTCACCCACAGAAAGGAAACAAAAATGTCCAGGCCTGGCACTGTTACTGTTCATTTCGTTACACACACACACACACACACACACACACACACACACGAGGTCTGTAAAGTGACCCTCATTACACGAGTTACAACCAGCAGGGCGGGAACAGGCCGAGGAGTTCACACGGTGCTCACAGCCATAACCCAAGGAGGTGCACGGTCAGTTCCTACTCATCCACCAGCAAAAGGCGGAAACCCAACAGAGACGGGCGAGAGGCTGGAGCAGGCGCCTCTCGAAGGAGAACCTCCGACTGTCACCACAGTGGGCGGTGTTCCGCCTCCTCCGTCCTCGGAGACAAACTGGAGCGGGAAGGAGAGACGCGGCGCCCACGGGGCGGCCGGGCTGACACGGCAGAGCAGAGCGTTCGGGGACAGCACGGGGGACGGGGGCGCGGGCCACGGCCCCCACTGCTCCAGGAGAGAGCCTTGTGTGCCGAGGGGAGCATTCGTCCCCCTGTGAGCCGGGCCCCACGCCTGGTTCCTGCACGTACACGGATGTACAAGGACGTACACGGATGTACAAGGACGTACACGGATGTACAAGGACGTACACGGATGTTGACCAAAAGGCATGAATTTCTCCGCCTCCGCGCTCACCTCATCGCACGGTAGACAAACGGCGGCGGCGGGCTCACGGGCGGATGCGGGGCAGCTGTGAGACGGACGGGCTGCTTCTGAGCTCCGCTCGCGTAAGGGGTGCGCCTGTGGATGCCGAGGGAACGGGCTGCACAGCCCTGGGAGCTCAGTGGTTAGAGTGCCGACCTCGCTCAGAATGACCTCGGGTTCGATTCCTGGGCAAGGGCACGGGTCTCGGGTTGCAGGTTTGATCCCCAGGCCCGGGGGGCGGGGGCAGAAGGCGGGGAGGCAACCAGTCAATGTGACTCACATCGATGTTTCTCTCCCCGCCCCCTCTCCATCACTCTTTCTAAAAATCAATGGAGGAGAGACCCTCAGGTGAGGATTGAATAATAATTCATAGCAATAATATAAATAAACGGGTGAGAGCAGGCAAACCTCGAGTGCGGTTGGAGAAACAGGACAGGGTCATCTTGGAGGCAGAGGGAGGCCCTTGGGGCTGGGAGAAGGTGGTGGAGAGGTCCAGGTCTTGGGGAAGTGTTTGGTGTGAGTGTTTTTAAGAAGATGGCGGCTGCCTCAAAGCGTCCCCTGTCGGGGAGGCGCCGGCTGCACCCCTGTGCCTCCATGTGCACCTGTGAGCCACCGCGCTCTTCCTGGTGCGTCGCGGGCGCAGTGATGAACCGAGGACAGGTGAGATGGTTGTGAGCGAGGACACCCATCCCACCAGCCACCCATGCGTCACGGCCCTGCTGATGGCGCCACGGGGGCTGCCCGCGTCAGAGCCGGGAATGTTGGGAATGTTGATGTGCTGAGCGGCTCAGGACGGTAACGTCTGGCTGTTACCCAGCTGCGTGGATGCCGTAGAGAAGGCCGACCCCCCAGGAGCGGAGAGAGTGGGGGTTGTTCTTTTTTAAATGGCCCCTCCCCCCCCCTCCCTGGCCTTTCAAAGCCACAAGCTGGAGGAGGAAGGGCGCCCCCCCCCAGCCTCACTCCTGGGCAGGGCGGGGGGGCGGGGAGGGGGAGTGAGAAAGCCAATCGGGAGAGAGAAGCGCCTGTTCAAGGACTGTTGGCTGCTAGGAGCTCCTTGCCAGGAGGGACTCTGACTTACTGACTTTATGTACGTTTCACATGTTAATATTGTTAAAATATATCTTTATTGATTCCAGAGAGGGAGAGGGAGAGAAACATCCATGATGAGAGAGAATCACTGATCCGCTGCCTCCTGCACGCCCCCCACTGGGGATCGGGCCCCCAACCCAGGCATGTGCCCTGACCGAGTTCAGTCCCTATGCCCCGTGTGACATAAGCTTCTCCAGGTGTGAAATACGTTAGTGCGAAGGGGGTGCTGCCCTCGCCGGACACACAGCGCCCCTGGTGCGCGAGGTTTCTAACTGTGCCCACCAGGTGCTGGGTGCTTAATACGCCTGCCGGGTGGGCGTGGCTCAGTGGGTGAGCGTCGACCTATGAACCAGGGGGTCGCGGTTCGATTCCCCATCAGGGCACAGGTCCGGGTTGCAGCTCCATCCCCAGTGTGGGGCGTGCAGGAGGCAGCCGGTCCATGATTCTCTCGTCATTGGTGTTTCTCTCTCCTCTCCCTTCCTCTCTGAAATCAATAAAAACATATTTTTTAAAAAGATAAGCATTACGACCTGTCATTTAAGTAGGTTCCCAAGAGCAGGCAGGTGGGGAAACGTATCGCAAGTTAAACAGCTGAGGCTGCGATGGGAGCCACGCCTTCAAACCTGCAGCTCTGAGCAGAGTGCGTGGGAGGTCACCCTGTGTGCCCTCCAGGACATGGTGGGAAACGTAAACAGATGTGTTTTCGTTTCCTTATACTCACGTGATCTAGCAAAAAAAAACCCAAAACAAAACAAAAAAAAACTACTTTTCCTTTGAGCCAGACCAGGTGGGGGTTCCACGCTGTGGGCGGGGCTGCGGGGACAGCGCTCAAGTCCGAGGTTGCATAACAGGCACTCAGCACGTACCCCTCGTGTCTCCCCGCGGGGTTTCGGTTCCTGGGAAACGCGGTCTCCGTTTCCTTCCAGACAGAGCTCGGCTGTCACAGACACCCACTCCCCCGCGGTGCAGGCGGTTCTCGCACATGCAGAGCCCTCGGGTCTGCCAGATGCGACAGCTCAGGTGTCTGCAGCCGAGGAAACGGAGATCCAGGGAGATAAACGCGGACCCAGAGCCTCGGGGCTGCTGGACGATGAGCTCAGGTTGGCAGCTCCCGCAGCCCAAACCCTGGGACTGTTGAAGGCCCCTAATCTCACGCTGGCTGGCAGGCAGGCAGGCGAGCACACGCCCCGCTCACAATCTCACACCGGCAGCCAGGCCCCCCAGAGCTCATGGCAGAGGCGCAGAGAGAGAAAGCTGGCACAGCCTCCCGCAGTGCTTCCTAAGAAAACCGTAAACATCAACAGCGAACCCTTCTTGTGAGAAGCATCTGAGAAGGCGCCTGGTGGTCCTGGCCAGTGTGGTTCAGGACAGAGCGTCAGCCTGTGGATGGAAGGGTCCCGGGTTCGATTCCTAGTCAGGGCACCTGCCCAGGTTGTGGGCTCGATCCCCAGTGTGGGGCATGCAGGAGGCAGCCGGCCCATGATCCTCTCTCATCACTGATGTTTCTCTCTCTCTCTCCCTCTCCCCTCCTCTCTGCGATCAACACAAACATGTTAAAAAGCAAAGTGCCTGGTTGTCCGACGTCTGTCACAGACGCCCAGACGGGGCCGCGCTTCAGGGCACTGTCCTCCCTGCGCCAAGAGCCAGCGCTGCAAACGCGGGGGGAAGGGAACCTCCCCGGGCTGGTGGGGTGCGCGGTCCCTATGGCTGTGGTCTGGGAGGGTCGCAGGGCGAGTGGGAGGGTCGCAGGGCGAGTGGGAGGGTCGTGGCCACCCGGCAGGGAGGGGCGGTCACTCCTCTCACAGCCAACTTTCGCCCTGGCCACCAGGTGAAGGTTGACAGGTAGAAGCTGCTAGATGTGATGTCAGGCGTGAGTAATGCTCCCAGGACAGAGGTGGCCTCTCTGCTTATCGGCGATACCGCACCTGTGCCCCCCCCCCTCGTGCCCCTCCCCGGGGAGGCAGTAGCCAGGGCGCTAGTGCCGACGCCGCAGCCTGGCCTGGCCCCGCGCCAGCTTTCATTTTCAGGAAGAAAAAACCGAAACTCAGACTCAGCTGAGCGGCAGCCACAGGGGCGTGTCTGCCTGCCTCCGGTGACAGCGTGTTTGCACACATATAAGCGAGCAGCGCGGGGCGCCCAGCCACGGTCCAGGACCATGTGGGCACCGGCTCCGTTGGCATTCCCCTGGAAGCTGCTGGGCGCCCTGAGAGGGCCACTGGGCTCCCTGTGGGGCAGCCTGGCACCCCTGCTCCTGTGGCTCCGGGCGGCGCTCCGGCTGGGGCTGGGCTGGACCCACAGGGG